GAATTGTCAGGCTGATAGTTAAGGGAGATGCCAGGATGACAGCTGGGTACTCTGTGTAGAAGTAGGCCAGTCCAGATTGGAGCTCTGGAAGTGACTTTTCTAGGAACTTGAAATTAGTAATATACCTATGCGTCAATAGAGTGAGACACGATTTGGGTAACTGACGTAGAGTTTAGGATTTAATTACATAGAAAACCAACAAAACAGGACAATTATTAACTCTAGGAAAACAAAAAGTTATGCAAGAAAGGAAAAGCAATCATAGTTTGGTATACAACTTGGCCGTAACTATTGTTTGCATGATTATAGTAGCACAAATACTGACGATTAATGTAATCCAAATCAGAATATAACTATTTTGGGAATATGGAGAGGTAAAAACGTTGGGGGTGAACATGGCGGGGGAGGGGGCGGAGTGATGGATAAAGAAAGCTACAGTCTCCTCTTGTGTCTCAGCACTCAGGCCCAAGGCAGAGCCTCTGTTCCATGAGTGGCCACGGACCGGAATCGTTGGAAGAAGGGATCCCCTAGCTCTCCACTCACCCAGGACTTAGCCTCAGCAAAAGGAGGCTAGGAGCTGGATGAGAAACGCTGACATGGGCCGGCTGGTGAGAGTGCGGTGCTGATAACACCAAGGCCCCTGGTTCGGATCCCATATAGGGATGGCCGGTTCGCTCACTGGCTGAGCGTGGTGCTGACAACACCAAGTCAAGGGTTAAGATCCCCTTACCGATCATCTTTAAAAAAAAAAAAAAAAAAAAAAAAAAAAAAAAAAAGAAACGCTGACATCCTGTTCCACTGACCAGGAGCTGTGGGGAGGAGGCTCTGTGCTCTTGCCTGCAGCATCTGAGTGGAGTCTTGTCCTGCTGAGCTGAGAGAGGGAAGGAAGGGAGAGGTGCTGGTGCAAACCTCACAGGAGCTGGTTTCTTACCAAAGAATTTTCACATTTTTGAATAGTTTCTTCAGTTGCTGTTTGCCCTTATGACCATTTCCAGAGGCTTTAAGTGGTTGTTTGTTGCTGTTCTAAACAATCTTTACCAGTTTCATTCGGGGTGAGCCCGCCCAGCTCTTCACGCTGTCATGCGGGTAGTCAATGCCTTTAGCTTTGAATCTTGCAACTCTCCTGTAAGTTTAAAATTACTTCAAGAAAAGTTAAGACATTTTTAAAAAGTCACAAGAAAGTAGTTATTAGGAATAAGTAGGTTAAAACATACAGCCCCTTCACTTTTGCTGTTTATTGTTTCCATTGGTAACGAGCCATAACAGCTCCTAGAACTACTTTAAATATACGCCCCAGAGAGTAAACAGGAAGCGGCGGCGTGGCAGCCTCCCTGGAGAGTAGGAGAATATTTCAAATCAAGGGACTCCTGGGGGCCGGTGAGTGGGACCTCTAGGTATTCAACTTTTTAGGGTGAAAACTGAGACAGTCCGGGGCCAGCCGAGGCCGCCGGAGGGGGAGTGGGCAGGGCAGCGCCACGCAGAGCGGTCGCCCAGCACCACGTCCACTTGCAGGCTTTCGGTTTCTTGGCCTCCATCTTGCCCGCGCTTCCCCGGCGTCTGGGAGAGTGAAGGCGGCAGGTCGGAGCGAGCGGAGAACCCCGGCGGTGGGCAGGCTGGTGAGTGCCCCGCGCTCGAGCCGGTGCAGGCAGCGCCCGATCCGCCCCAGACCCGGAGACCCGAGGCCGAGTTCCCGCGCATTGTCGCCGTGAGAGCCCCTCTCCGCCACTCCTCGCGTCTTTCCACAGACCCGGGCTTCCGCCCACTGGCCTCGGGCGGGGGGTGCCCGGCAGGAGCCAGGGGAGGGGTGGCCCTTCTGGCAGGGGACCCAGTCCTGTGGCTTTCCTATTTCGGGTTTGTCCCCTGGGAACCCCGCTGGGCTGGGCGCGCCCGATCCCGCGCCCTCCCCCGTGCCTCCGCGCTCGGCCCGTCACCCCCTCTCCTCCGCCTACGGGTTCCCAGAAGGGCGGCTGAGGTTTCCGGGATCCTAGGTGCTGCCCCGAGTGCCCCGACGGACCGGACCGACCGGGAAGCAACCCTTGGCCAGCAGTGGCCACCCCTGCAGCCCCAGAGTCGGAAAACTGGCCGCGAGCGTTGGTCCCTAACGTTGTCAGCCTTGCATAAAATGGCCTTGAGAGGTATTCGATTTCTGGGGTGAACTGTTCAAAAGATCTGGCAGTTCTCCTTTCGGAAAGTTGACGAGAACGAGGATTTTTTGAGATGTGCGTGCACGCTGGCCTCTACTCGGCGGGAGCTGCTCCCCCGGGAGTTTTTACTCTTTCCCAATAGTGTCGTGAAGTACGTCAGGGTTGTAATTCCCCAGCGCAGTTTAATGTATATTTTGGCAAATTGCAAGGAAAGCTTGTCTTGGGAAAGTCGGAAATGTTTGACTGATAAGATTTTTTTAAGCCTTAACATAAACCTGTTTCCGCCACTTTCCCTCTTCAAAAGGACTGAGAAATTTAAGATGATTTCAAGTTGTTTTCGTTTGACTGTGTCCGGATTTAGACAGAAGAACATGTTCTTTTAAATAATTACAATGAAGTACAAGAGAACAAAGGCCACTGAAATTCAGAATAAGCTTTTGGTTCAAGGGAGCAGGAAGTAAGTTCAAGGACACTAATGTTTTCTCAAAGATTGTTGACATTTGAAATTGTTCTTACGCAAAGGTGAATCCGGTAAGGGGATAGCAGATGTCAAGAATTTTGGACATTGACAAACCGGTATAACCTAAAACTAAGGGCACCGGCGGGCTTGATATGCTTTAGATAAGAGGAACAGAATTTTTGGTATTTTTCCCTCTGGTAGTTCCCGTAAATAATCTTACAAAAGAGTTTCGTTGAACAAAAACTTGGCTCAACTCCAAAGTTTAAAAAAAGACTGGGTTTGGAAGGGAATTTTGAACGTGTTTGCCTACAGAAATCTTTTTTTGTTGTTGTTGTTAACACTTACTTTACTTACAGCTTTTGAGCTGAACGTCCTGGTTAAAATGTTGTCTTTTTTTATTCTTTTTTTCTAGCGACTTTACGTTTCACATTTCTGTTTGTAACTGACGTTTGCACTCCCTTTAACACGGTATTGCTTCCTTCAAACCAGTTTCTAAGGTGAATCCACCTACAGGTCTGCAGAGGCGCAGGGTGCTCGCCGCCGTGGGAGTCCTGGGCCACCGCGGGATGGGGGCGGGGGGGGGTTGTGGGCAGCTTTTGGAACTTTGGCAAGGAG